TCGTCTGAACTGGTGTGTATGGTCTCTGCCTGCCAGGTAGCTTTGTGGGAATCCTATCTATTTTGTATCGTTATTGTACGCAAGTGTACATTATTGAGCTGACGTTGATGGTTAAATGTAGAGTTTGACTTTAAAGTCGTACAACTGTAGTGTAAATTCACTGTCTAGTTGCAACATTCAATCCGTGTTGGATTATAATTAGGCTTGCGATTTTAGTCTTAAAATTCAGCACAAACTTAACACCTGCATACATTTAGTATTAATTTAACAAAGTTATTTCGGTAAGTTTATATAACTTAGTGATCAACCTAAGTTGTAACGTATTGATATCAATATTATATAATACATTCTACAACTTCTGACGGTTTTGATTTTGGTAGTAAAATTCACTGAAAAACTAAACGATAAACGACTGCAAATGTAACTTTGTATTCTGCTGATTGCAATACTATACGTATACATAATTATAGGAATTTATGTACACACGAAATAAATTGATATACCATTTGCGGTACGCATTATAGTGTATTATAAACGGGAGGTGGTCGGATGGTTGAGTATCTATAAACAAATTAATTTTCTAGAACTTATCTCTCTTGGGCCACAATAATAATAAAAACCATATTTATGTAAAAAATAATAATAATATTAAAATTAACATTAGTTTTAAGAAATACAACGAATATATTTTTTTCTTTACTAAAAAAAATGTTTAAATAATATGAATTTTTCATCACCGAGGAGAGAAAGGTGTTATAAATTATTGAACATAGTCAGCATATCGAGCGGCATACGTATAAATCAAATTAAATTTCTCGCATTGAAAAAAAAAATACATTATTCTGTGACTTTTTGTCAAATGTCAATATAACACTATGAGTTGACTCTTTTCATGGACGCCATAAGGCCGCCTGCCGCAAACGACGAAATATAACAGTTGTGAAAACATTCAAGAAAGAAACCTTGACAACGTTCGACTTACTTTTCTTTAGTGATTTACTGTGTACTTTGGAATAATTATTTTCTCACTGTACTTATGAATATCTAGCTGGTTGTGAAAGAGGCGAAAACAATTGTAAGTATACATTTTTCAACACGTTTTTATCCGTCCATTAACTAAATATATAATTCTGTCCAATATGAAGAGTTCATTTTCGATTAGAACATTGTTATTTTTTGGCCCTATATGACCGCTTGTTAAAGTAAAATATAAAAAAAATCGTCACATAATCTTACATCAGTAAAAGTTATCTTTAAACAATCAACCGTTTTCCTGTGTAGTGCAATTTTAAATAAAAATAGTTTTAGTTATAATGTGGATATACTATTAGCCCCTTAGCCATCGACATAGTAATTAGTAAGATCACAATTTTCTTTAAATACAGAGTATCCCACAAAGACCTGCCACAATAAGTAACTTCTGTTCCTTTGAATATTTTAAAGATTTTTTTTTAAATTAATTTAAACTCATTTTCGCTCTGAACACCTCGGTATGTGTTACTCTTATCTGTTTTACTTTTTTTATTCGCTTTTTTAATTTTTTTGGTTACTTTTATTTTACTAAATTTAGGATTGCCATTTTATAAGAAATAATTTGCTTAAAATGTTGACTGTCGACAACTAGCTTTAAAGTTTTGGATAACTACTTGAAAGTTATTAAAGGTTAACGTGTACTGTGTAGGATGGGAGTTGGAGTGCGGTAGAGTAATGCGTGCAGATAAAAATAACTCTACGCACTTACTTTACCATACTCCACCACCCATCCTACGCTATAAATTTTAATAACATAAAAAGTAATTATCAAAAACTGGTTATTAGCCATTCCAAATTCTCAGCAAATTATTGTCAATAAAATGACTATCTTGAGTTTTTTAAAAAAAATGATTGAAAAAGTAAACGAATTGAGAGTAATGAATACCATGGTGGTTAATGGTTATAGCGTAAATTAGTAAATTGAACGACTAACACTTTAGAATGTGACTTGTATCAAACGTAAATTATTACAATTTTACAGCTGCCAACATTTGCTACAAAAATTGTATTTTCTTTTAAAAAACATGGTACGTAGTCTTCTTGTTGTGTAAAAAATGTATAATAATATTCATGATACATTGACATGTGTTGGGTGATTTTGTTTAAACAGTAATATTTTTAACTAATCTTTATTTCAAACAACACGAAGTAACATGAATTTTCGTTTTTTAGGCGAACAGTATTCTTGTTTGTACGAAACCTAGTATTCCAACGCATTCGATTTGCCAGATTAATTACCAAAGAAAAAATTGGGCGGGCTTCCTACCAAAATGACGTCTTTGAATATTTGTTGGGTAACTATACTATGCATTATTTGTTCGATACCAACTATCATATCGGCAAATGATGAAGTGATGATCGATAGCTATTTAAATCAAATACCCGGTTTAGTGATTCTGAAAGATGTCGAGATACGAAAAGACGGCCAGAACACGTCCCTTAGTAAAATGTTCGGGCCAAAACCAGCCGAATGGAGTGTTCATGGTGGCAACTTTCGAGTTATAACCGAAATGGCTCTCACTGCGCAGTGTTGTTTGTATTTCTCGCAAATAATGACTTTCTTGCAAACAATAGAAAATGATTTTGCTACATTGGAGAATTTACGTAACAAATTACCGACAAGTGTAGGTGATAAAAGTTATGAGGCTTTAAATGTGTTTATCCGTTGTTTGGATTCTATTAAATTAAAATTTAAAAATTGGCTGCCTATTGCATTAAAAATGTTAACGACAGTGTTGGACTATACAAAAGTATTCAATATACGGTCGGACAAAAATGCATTGAACGCGATTATGACGTTTTACTTGTATGTAAGTCGTATCAAAAAACAAAAACACGCGTATGACACATCGTACCCCCAAAACCAAATAGAGCACAAATTCCCCAAAAGGTTCTTTAAAATGAAGATGTACACGCGAAACCTGATCGAGTCGTTTGCAGTCTGGAATTGTTCTTGGAAGGAATTCGATGGCTATCAATCAAACAATATCGACTCTCAAGATAACAAAATTTTCAACAAATTCAGTTTACCAGAAACGCACTTTAAACGCCAATACTTCGATCTAGAAACATTATTTTTGACCAATGTTTCAAAAATTCGGTTTGATCCCGACAGTATATTAGGACACTTGGTTGTGGATAATGGAATTGCCCAGAGACGTCTAGGTGCTCATTACTCATACCACGTAAGAAAGGAGGAATATCGTTCAGAATCCATAACAAAAAACCAGACAATAGTATTCCAGAGTATAGCTATGACAGTTTTTTATTTAATTAATAAAATATTAAGAATATCCGAAAAGGAGGGCATAACTCATAATTCACATACAGATAGTATTGTAACCAATGCCATAAATATTTTATGTCATTTTAATTTTCCCGGACTGTTACATGTGAAATTGAGGAACGTGATGTATCAAAGAACAATTAACTCAAACACCAATAAACCGTTAAATAAAATGTTTGAAGATTTACAATTAAGTATTTTTGAAATTAAAGAAATAGTTATGTCCACATCTGAGTATAGTGAAATAGAAAAATTAAAAGAGTATGCCAACATTTTGGAAGGACTTACAAGTAATTTAATAACCATGGAATCAGACGTAAAAGCAGTAGCAGAGATAAATAAAAATGTGTGTGATTATGAATTCGAAGAGGTGGGATTTTTGCAATATGATACTTCTAAAAATAAATATCACGAATGGCGGCAGATGGTCAAGACGATTTGCAGCGAGCAATACCAATCATGAAATCATTAAAAGAGAATAATTGTCAGTTTTCATTTGTCGCCGTTATTCATTTTATGTTAAACGATTTTATCTTATCACAATGCGAAACGATAATGTTGGATAAAAATAATTTGCACATGTCCAGCCAAATGGAATCATGTTTTAACTCTATGATAAAATCTATCGTAACGATAGGAGAAATGCTTGATCATTCGTTGAATACTATATTAAACACATTGCATTCGACTAGGCCATACAACAATGCCAACCGCAACTTAATTGATTCAATTTTAGCAATGAAACTATATTTTAGCAACGGCAATCTGCTCAATAGCAATGTACCGCTAACTGGACGAGGATCTGTAGATATAAACAGGGTGGTTTCTAAAATTGATATGTTGAAACGATCTCATCGATTCATTATAAACCTGATCGAACGTTACACGGTAAAAAGATGCTCAAAAAATACGTTAAATAGACCATCAAATCGTGAAGAATTTACAAAAACTACTAATACTCGGTTAGATGAGAACTGTAACACCTATATGGCCAATAAAGACAAGACACGACTCATAGAATGTGTCAAAAGACTCATTATAGATAATTTAAAAAAATACCAAACTGTCGAAACCCATATGGATAGAAACGAATATACAGTTAAAAGTTTGTTAATGAGTTCTATTTTGAATAAAGCTACAACCAATGATAGCAGTTTATCAATGTTGCACGACATCGAAGTTTCGTGGGATGGCCAATTCAAGAGAATAGCGGAAATTGTCGATTTCGTCAAAAATAACATAAACCCAAAATACCTTAGCAAATATCAACTGACCCTTATAAAAATCATTGTTTTTATAGCATATGAGGAAATGAAAATAATTGTTCAAACTAGCGCAGAAAAAAAGAATTTTTTACTATACTCTGAAAAATTGAATAAAATGAGTGAAGCACTAAGTTTTTCTTTTTTTCCATATATCCCGATGAAAATAAAACTAGGGTATAGAACAATTCTTGAATATTTTGATGAGTACTTCTTAGGCGAAGCTTCGTATAATTATGATACACTTATTCGTATAATTGAAGTAGAACAATATTATTTGGGATTGCGGAAAGGATCGTCTAATGCCAAAGTCGATCAAATAGTTCTATCAATACCAGATCATATATTAGAAATGACATCAGAGTCACCCGATGTCGAAATGGCTGAATCATCTAAAGTGAATATCGACATCAGTAAAGGCCAAGAAAATATTCGTCGATTATTAGCGTATTCGTTGGTTGTTAAGGAAATTTGGACTGATTTGACAGTTGTTTTACGTTTGTTGGATTTAAGACAAATGAAAGATATTTTGGTTTAATAGATAGCAACTTGTAAGAAAAAAAAACCATAGATCTGAGATTCAATACTATAGTAATATATAAAATATGTTTTAGGAAATCTAGAGTTTTTAACGTTAATGGATATTTTCATTATACATATTAATCAATATTTCTTGTACTATTTCATAATTAATATTGTGTTATTATATTTTGTTTTAAATTTCTTGATGTATTAAACTAATCAAGTTTCGGGTGTTTATAAGTTATTGGAAATTTCGACTGATTTGTCAGATGTTTTATGTTTGTTGGAGTTATAGCAGATGAAAGACATTGTCGTCCAATAAATTGCAACTTGTAAGAAAACAAAACTTATTTTTATATTTCTGAGTTTTAATATATTACTATAGTATTATATAAAATCTATTCTAGAAAATATAAAGTTTTAAACGTTTATTTCAGTGTTTTCTTTGTATACATTAATTACTATTTCAATATAAATATGATTGTGTTATTATATTTTGTTTAAGTTTCTTGATATTTTAAACTGTTCAAGTGTCGGGTGTTTATAAGTTATAGTTGTAACAATCATTCATGTAATAAAGCAAATTTTATCTTCAGATGATCATTTTGTAGTTAACATCACCTTTGTATTCGACTAGTTAAGAGTTTGTCACTTATTTTTACTTTAACTAGCACTTACACAGTGGCAATTTCTTTATGAGCTCATTGCATTCATCCAAAATTAATTATAATGAACTGAACAGGTTTATTCAAAATTTAATTTAATACTGTATAAAGTAGCACTAAGCGAATATTAGAATTTTTAACCTGACACTTCAATAATCGAATATATTCAGATAAAACGTGTGTGTACAAACGATTTCAATAGGCAGTTTGATTACTATATTTTAGTGGTTTGAAATATAATAGGTAGGTATTTAACAATTTGAATATTTGAATTGCACATTAAGATATTATGTATTTTATATAAAAAATAATGTATGCAATTTTAGATAACGAATAATATTATTAAAAGCTAAGTTGCTTTGCCACACTTGGTAAAATTTTAGGTACTTAACATATTTATTATTTTGGCAACGGTTTAGATTTGATTCGATTAGGTTTAGATATAAAATATTTCAACTAGGCTAAAATCTCAAACCATTATAAAATGAATATTGTTTTACATAAATAAAACAATAAATCGATTATAATATAAATAATAATATAAATGATAATAATAATGACAAAATTAAAACAGCCAATATTGTGTTTATAATGATGTTATTTAATTTTTTGTATTATATGAGAGAGTATCTCAAATAAAATAATTTGACTAGAGTAGTTTGATTGAACAAAAAGGTAAAGTTGTATAATAATGACATACATACATTACCTTTTAAGTTAATCACTTATATAATTGTGTAAGATGATTCTAGAAAATCTACTTATTTGTAGTTACTCAACCACTCGACCACCTCCCGCTTATTAAATAAGGTTATTGGTATCACAAAAGGTACATACATTTATTTAATGTGTATATAATGTTCTTATGTATATTTGCAGTTAGCAGTGTACTCAGATACATTTCCAATAGGTTTTCTGTACATTTTATGACCAAAACCTAGACCGTCAGATGTTGTATAGTTGCTTGGATAAAATAATGTGACTACAGTTTTTTAATTTCTATTTAAACAAGTGACGTACATACATGATAATAGTGTATTACACAATAGTGATATAAATACGTTACAATTTAAGTTGATCACTAATATAACTCAACAAAATAACTCAGTTTTACATTATTGAAATACAAAAATGTATGCAGGTGTTCAGTTTAGTACTGAATATTAAGTTTTTAGTATTTAAAGCCACCCACCAAATATCCGCCTATTTTCACACCGCTAATGTCAACATCAGTTTAATACCAATGTACAACGTTAACTTCATTAAACATTTAACATTTTTAAGCTTGTAGAGAAACTTTGGACACGCTTTAGTTTATCTTATTGGAAAATATTATAAAATTACTTAATATTTACCTTTTTTAGTATTTTTCAAAGCACTATCGACGAGAACCTTAGGCAAGGAACACTCGTAGTGTTATTTGCTATGGCGTTGCTGAGATAAAATAGTGAGTTTTTTTATTGTTAAAACAGTAAACACAATATTACAAGATATTTCGATGAGCTAACATTTTTCGTACAAACACAACCCGACAGAATCAATACGGTACAGCAAACATCTATAAAATTATGTATCCGGCAGTAGCAACAACACAAACCGCTCTTTGGATTTATTCGCTGAAATATTCGATGTCGGCGATGGCCTTTGTCCTAAAGTTTCATTTCAATTTCAATGTTGGCGTTTAAAGAAAACTTTACTTGTATCTTATCATATCGCTTTATAGCGTTAGATCCTAATATTATTTTCTCTATATTTACTACGATTCAGCTATAATATAATAATTGTGTAGGACAACCGAATGAACCTGTTACGGCTCAAACACTTATGTATGTAGTTAAATCGATTTTAAAATGTAGATTTTATTTTCTATTTTATACAAAACATCATTTAAAAAAACATTAATCATAATAATGAATTTCTGAGTAATATCATTTTCTAGTATGAAAAAGTTTAATTAAATATTAAATATAGAGAAGTGTTTTTTGAGGCTTATATGTTTATATTTTACTTATTATTTATTTAACAGATGAACAAACATCAGATGAAATCACAACGTTTTAGTCTAAACTGTGTCGATTGATTGAACAACTGATTATTGCAAAACAATATAAGCCCATATAGTATACCCACTGATATTCTAATTTACAAATGTATGATGACTTTCAAATATATTTCAGTTATTTTTGCGGCATATGAAATCAGCTAAAATGTTAAGAATTAGAACGCGTTCTTGTACAATACAACTGAAAACTCTTGCCTTGTGTTGAATGTGTTACGAAACGGTTCTATTTTAGCGGTTAACCGTAATTACCATAGTGTTTTGGTATGCTCGCCGTCTCGTCTTCAGTATATATTCGGTCATAAAAAGAGCTGTTATGCACATCCTGTTGGGTTGCAAAAGTCAACCACGGTAATACTATGTATTACACACCTATATGGTGTTTTGTTGTTGTCACTTGACGTCACACACATATCATTTTTAATAACATCATAATAACACGAGCGTGGCCAGACACTGGTCGCGACCTCAACAGCTAGCCAAACAACATAACACTATGAAAAATACATTAAAAACTGTCGTCGAAATGAAGAAAATATTTTCGATTTCTTATATGGAACCCCGGATTATCTAATTAGTCTCTTAACTGCCGCATATTTCCCTCGGATATATTTTATGTATAGGTACGTATTTTAAATAGTTAATTGCCCTTAGATTACATAATACTTCATAAACAACAACTTATCTACACCTAAGCAAAACAAGATATCAATATTGTAATAACCAGCTATTTCTATTAGCATTCGTCTATGAATAATTCAAACGTTATGATTTCTTACAAGTCAACGATCCTGATTCCATTTGAATTATTTTCAACCCAATTTATTTTTCAATTATTCTCTTCCAATACGAGCATATCTGCTGATATATTATAATATCTATTTTGCAATCGAATAATATTACATCGAACTATCAAAATTCAAACGCATTTAATCCTCGAAAGAATTAAATGTAAATTTATTTGACAATCTCAGAGAAATAGAAGCTATCGTTCAATTGAAATTGCATGATTTCAACTTTGCGGTATGCGTTAAGTGTTTGAATAAAACATTTATTTTTTTATTTTAAGCTTTTAAAATTAGTTTTAATACAAGCTAGTACATTTTTCTATGCGTTTTTGATTTTGCGAACAATAACTAGTGCTGAGCAATATCAAAAAATTCTAGCACATTGAGAAAAATGTATAGTGAGGTCACATTGATACTAAATTGTCAATGGTATAATATGTGATAATTACATTTATGAATTTAAAAGTGAAATAAGCATTAAGAGTTCAGCCCTCCTAAGAGCGAATGAGTTTATCATACTATATTAATTTTTCACTCCATATCGGTATAGTTTGTATCTAAAAAATATCTTGTACAAATTAGGAAATAATTTGACTTTTTTCCCCTCAAGTTATAGCGTACCTTTACCTTAGCACAATCTGAAGTATAATCATAATGAGAAATTATTGTTAATTAAAATATTCAATTAATGATTACATTTACAATATCTAATGTAATGGAGTTTTTAACTTTAACAAAAAATACAAGGTTAGGAGTAATTTGAAAGTAATGAATTGTACATATAGGTATAATAATGATTTATTATTGTGGTTACATGCACAAAATAATCATTGATCAAATGAGCAAATCCAGCCGTCAATTTAACTTTGTTTTTCAACAGAATTGTTCCGAGTAAATTTAACATGTAGAATAAGTAAGTCTTTGTATGGGGTGTTGATATAGGGGCAAAAGTAGTAATTAAACCAAGCCTAACTATATCTAACCAAACCGGATTAAAATAATCCAATCCTAACCTAACTTGACCTATCCAAACAATGAAAATCAAACACAGTTAATAGTTTAATGTAACTATATGTTTTTTCATGTCGCTAAAGATTTGTATATAATTATAAAACTTACTTATTACAATTATTTACATAGTTTATTTTATAAAATAACACAATATAATGACTTGTGTGTGTTTTATTTAAATGACAATACAAAAATTATTCAATCTGAATACTTTAGCTTTTTCGTATAATCAATGTACAATAATGTAAAACACTAATGGATTTTGGGATTAAAAAGTTTTCCGCTTAGTTTAGTTCTCGTTTTAACGAGGTGTTTCCTAATTTAAATTCTCACTGCACTCACAAGAGCTTAGCGGTAACTTTACTGCGTGTAACACACCGTTAAAATTTCAGTTTTAACCGATGTGCCGTTTGGTTTGATCACTTAATAATATCCGACGCTTATCTTGTTCTGTACCCACTGTAGTTTTTTTAATACCCGATCAATTTCTTCGAATAGCAACTCTGTAAATTATCAATTTTAATTTTTTGGTACTTTGTGGCCGTGAAAGTTGTAAAAGTTCACTCTTTCGCCATTAAATTCAGGGCATACACAAAAATAAACTATACACATTTTTAATTTCAGTTTTAACTAACTAAAATGGCGATTAAAATGGTCGGATCGAGTTGAAATTTGTAACGAATATTTATTTGGTGTGTCCCTATAAGACATGTGACCTGTGACCTCCCCGTCCCCACTATACCCAGACCCCCACTAAATAGACTTGCTCTGATAAAATCACTTTAAAATTAACGCTTTGATGCGAATCTGTGGACACTGCACCTCACTTCAATACTTTCTTACTGTGCTCGGTTTGGACTGTACTTATATTTTTATTGCACGATAAGACTTTGCGAGCCGTTGGAGGGTATTATGTATTATTAATTGTATAAGAAATAACATATTATGTCATATTTTGAGTTAACAAGCCGATTTCACAAACGACATGGATCTGACACAAGGGGGTTTAAGTGGTTTAAAGATTTCTATGTATATATTTATGAAATCGCGTGTCGTAAAACTTGGCTCGTATCGGTTTTCAAAAGAGTTACCGCCATTGTTATTCGAATGATAAATGGATGTGCGAGGATTAATATATATATATATATTTTTTTTTTGTCGATAATCTTAAAAATGAAAAATAACATTATACCGAGCTTTTATTTATAAAAGCACAAAATGGCAATTTGTTAATGTCAACTACAATAGTAGGTATATTTTTATTGTAAACTTATATCGTGAAATATCCATACGAGCAAAAAGAAAAAAAAAATTGCACTCCAGATGAGTGCTTTTCATAAAAAAAAACATCTCTCGGTTTTTTTTTACTTCTGACTCGGTTATGTTATGTCGTCGACTGTGAGTATCAACTGCAAAATAATGTATATCTAACGATATTGTACTGTTGAGTAGTACACCAGTATACCTACTTGAACAATTATTTTGGATTTTTTTTCTACAATTTCTATTATCATATACACAAGTTCGGACAGTCTGACATATGTATTGCTGATTTAACGAGATATTATTATTATTCTATTTTGTTTTTTTTTCGGGGGGGGGGGGGAGATAGATGAAAAAGGCTATTGTTTGTTCGTCTCCGTTTGGGATCTCAAGTTAGATAGAAAAAAAAATTCACATGGGAATACATGTGGTCAAATAAAATAAGAACAAAAAATACTTATTACTTTTCTTTGTTACATAAAGTTGAATTAAATCTACCGAAAACTCGGCGAGGTAAAAAGTAAAAAGTAAAACTTTTTAAATCAAAATCGTCCCAAGCTCCAATATATCCCGACTTTCGGTAACGTGAGATAGCCAAAGGAGTTTAAAAATTTAAGAAAACGCAACATTTTCACGGGAATTCTATTTATAGCACGGAGAGAACTTAATTTGACACACCATGGTAAAACGACACATTGATGTTTTTATAAGGAACACCGATATTTAAGAACCCAGAACTCTTTCAATTACAAGACTTGCATTCTCCTATACATAATAATTATACCTACCCATGTTTGTACCCTATCAAAGAGGTAATTAGCGAAATTGTGCTTTGTGTGATATACATTTTTATAACTTTTAATATTTAGTTTAAAATTACGAAATTTTATGTATGTAGGCTTCGATATATTTCTTATAAATTTGTACTATTTTCAGTTTTAACAAAACAAAGATTAAAACGTTACATACTAGAAATTTCCTACTTAATTTATGTCTCTAGCAAAATTACAAAATGGTTACTTACACAAAGAGTGTATGCAATTTTACCTAACCCTCATTTAATGTACTATTTGATACTATTGTCTCAAGTGTTAACTGAAAAAATATTTTCTTTAAAATTTCCAAATTAAAAAGTGATATGTCATAATATTAAGCCTGCCTTTCTCAACACCAACGTTTGGACAAAAATAGATAAATATATTGTTATACTTTTTTCCAATAAAAAACTGGCGCAGATATGCACAGAAATGCACATTAATCTGAATCTGATTAAAAAAAATGTGTATTTTACAAAATGTATAATTAAAGAAAAATCTACATATATAAAAATCAATAAAACACATTGTTGTTGAATGTATTGTGTTTTTGGCTTAAAGTAATTAATATGTTATTGAGAATCAATTAGTTGTCCATTTCCGTTGATGGTGTTTTTCTTGCATTTTCTTTAGTTTCGGAATTTCAATCTATGTTTGTAGGGTAAATTTATTTACTGCGAGTCCAAGGTTGTTGGGAATTCGTTTGTTTTCGAAACAATAAAGTAGAAAACAAAAATGTAAAATTGCTCTCTGACACTATATAAAGCTCTGCAACCGTTTAGATGGATTCATAAAGTACATTAGATATACTCACTGATCAATAATAGCGTTTAACAGTTTACAAACCATCATGCAGTACGCTACAGTAAGTATAAAATCTATTGCATTTGGTTATTATATATATTTTATAATGGAACATTTTTTTTAAATTTTTGCTCTATTTCAATACTATTTTAACCGTTGTTTAATTAGTAAAAAGTTCAAAAATTATGACTTACAATTTATCGTTCTATCGCAATTTTGGCAGTAGTGTTGTTTTTAAAATAATTTAAACTATTCGTAGATTTTATAGTATTTCCCTAAATTACATTAAGCATTCTTCTGTTCGTATCTAAAACACTGCGACCATAATTCTTTTTAATTTGAATTTGTTTTTAATTGGTGCCAATTAAATAGTACCTACACAGTTGTTATACAAACCGTATAGCAACAGAGCCAGATAAAATTAAAAAATAATTATCCTCCTAAAAAATGTCTGGATAATTTACTACCATGTTTTAGACTCGATCAGCTTCGTATTGTCTCTAATATTGATCATTTTTCAAACGACAACTATATATATATAATGGTATATTATTTAATAACTACAATTAAAACCTAAATAATTATTACAGCTCTCATGCAAAATTGGAGAAGGTAATATTGTCTTACATTGATGTGTTTTTATTTTTACTATGTGATTGGAACCACGACATTTCCTAAGCCCTTGAACTGATATTTGTTTAATGTACCTAACAAAATAATAATCTATAAATCAGAAATCAAACATGAAAAAGGTAAGGTACTTTGTTGTGCCAACAATTATAAAAGTTCATCCCTTCCCTTAAAAATTGAGATTAACACCCAAATATTGTACTAATTACATCTTAAAATATGATGTTCTATAATGGGCTATTAAAAACATAACACATTTTCTTAAAAATCAACAGTCGACATTTTTTTTTGCTAAGGAAAAATTGTAAAAAAAGAGAAAATTTCAGTTTGATTATAGACTATTTTTTCAAACTGGCAAATTTGTTTTTAATTCCATAAATATATAGACAAAAAATATTAAAACATGTTAGCGTTTAAATGTTCGTCAATCTGTTCGATTGCTATGACTTTGTAAAGATTTTACAACAGTAGCACAGCAATTTCCCATTAAATAATGACAAGAACAGCTTGTTTATCATTATCTCAAAACATTTCATTGTCTTCTCGCCTATAGGACAATGCGAACATAAGTATGAATTTGTTCGGCTAATGGATTTTGTTAAGCCGAAGACACATGACAATATTATAAAGGGAAATGTAATATCTTTACAAAGTCACCGCAAACGAACAGACTGATGACGATTGAAAAATTGAAACGCTTTTTTGTCTACATATTTATGGAATTAAAAACGTGCGTTCCCCGAAAAAAACGCAGTCCATACTTGTTTTCTATGTGTAAAGGATGAAGTGAATAGTATTCAAGTATTGAAAAATACAGTAAAATAGATAATTACTGTCTTACGTCAGACGGATCACTCTGAAATCATGTCGTGTTGGTTTTGATTTTTGTATAGAAATACTATTTTTTTTTTTAGATTGCCGCATTACTATTAGCCGGCGTTTGCTTGTCCGTGGCCAGACCAGAAGGCATCTATAATTATGCGTACGGTGTAAACGACCCGAACACTGGCGACCAAAAGGATCAGCAAGAAACGAAAATCGGCGAAGCCGTCAAAGGATTTTACCGCGTGCTGGACGCAGACGGTCAGATGCGCATCGTCAACTACTTGAGCGACCTAAACGGATTCCAAGCCAATGTCGTACGGTCGCCGGTAACCACGGGAGGTCACGGTTTGCCCGTCCTGGAGAAATCCGCTCAAATCGTCGACAGCTTGCCAAACCTGGCCACCGGTTTGCACGGCTCCGGTATTGCAGGCATCCCGGTATCCAGAATGGTCAAGTTCAACGGTCCCCTCGTCAGCCAGGTCCTATCCCCTTCGGCGGAGATGCCCTTGGGATATTCGTACGTCCAGGAACACCCGGTCTTGAAGAAATGGTAACGGTGCAGCTTTTTTTTTGTATTTGCCAATTTCGTTGGACCCGCGAGAAATGTAAATAAAACTAAAACTTATTTTTTAAACATCGACCCCCCAAGTGTTATTCATTGAACATCCCCCAAGCCGTTGTACCAGCCCGTCAACAATTAATATGTTTTTTCTTTTATTAGGTCATACTGGGTTTAGTCCTTCTGTTTACTTGACCCGCGGTATACAAGCTAGTTGTGTTAGTTCATCACTTTATATCATTACTCTATTACACTACACGTTGTTTAGATCCAAACGAATATAACTACCGGCCATCGAAGGTATGAAACGAACAGTGGTGAATTAACAGCGAGACAGGCGTGGATGTATTATTATTATCATTAATGTTGGCACACTTTGAGTAGTTTTTTATTTTTTAAAGACGCCGACGTCTAAAACGTTTGACTTGTTTCGATTAATTTACATAGAATTTCATTAGTTTCTTGTACGGTATTTTAAACCGCACGCCGCAATTTAATTTTCGCCAAAAACTTGTTGGGATTATGCAAAGGGCCGATGACACAAAATGGAATAATAATACGACCATGATTGTTATTCGTATGGATATTAATCCATACTGGAAAATATTAATTTTGCAGTACCGCCGACCGGAAAACCACGGTAAAAACAAAATATTTTTACTAACGTCTAATAATAGCAACAAGGGGTCACAATAAGTAAAATATTACAAAGTAATCGAAAAGGCGAGCTGCAGTGAGGGCAAAATGGCAAAATTTCATTTCTCTGGTATACATATTTAATTTGTTTCACTACAACAACCATAATATAACTTATCAGTTATTATATTTTCATATTATCATATAAAATTTGAATTGATCTATTGATCTGTATAGTTGATAAGGATTACGTTGTGCAGTGTTTAACAACCTATACAAAAAAAGGTGTACATTGTTTTATTTAAAGTAGTCGTACTGGCTTCTTGATTACTTTGTTACAGGACATTATATTATGATGATAAAGTTCTATATATTTTTACTCTATTAATAATAATACAATTTTATTGTGATCCGCATAATATGACAAACAACAAACGACACGTTTACATGTTATCAAAAAACGGCAATTTCAGTTATTAAAATATACAAAAAATGAAATACATTAGAACGAATTACAAGTAGGCTACTGGCACCGGTGACGATCTGTATTGACTGGCGTCCGCCTGGTCTGGTGCCTTGAGTGTTGATTGCCTATTGCCATGTTGTGTAGGCATAAGGGTGTGCTGATTTCACGGACGGTTCAGGTGTGACGGAATGTTTGGACAGCGGTGCGGGTGCGGGGGGCAGTGAGAGCACGTTCGAGTTCGGGATACTCGCGAATCTCGCCGACGGTTCGGGTGTGCTCACGAGTTTGGACAGCGGTGCGGGAGCCTGTGGTAGTGGAAGCACGTTCGAGTATGGGATACTCGCGAATCTGGCAAGCGCTTCGGGTGTGCCGGTGTGTTTGGACAGCGGTGCGGGAGCCTGTGGCAGTGAGAGCACGTTCGAGTGTGGAGCACCAGAGTACGGGACACTAGCCGGAGCGGGTTGTAGCTTAACCGAAGGCGCGTCCGAGTATGGCGTGGCTCCGTAAGAGTTGGTCAGAGCCGGAAGTGCACCGTTGGCCGCCGGTTGGCGTTTTACTTCGGCAGAAAATCCGTGAACCGGATCGGCTTTGTAGTGAACAACCCGCACCGAACCGTCGGCGTCGAGCAAACGGTAAAAACCACTAACCGTGTCTCCGTTTCTCACTTCTTGTTGGTCCTTTTGGTCGCCGGTTTTGGGATCGCTAACGCCATAAGCGAACCCGCCGTCGCTAGCGTACGCCAAGCAAACGCTGGCCGCCAACAACAGGCACACCTGCAACAACAATGAGTTAATCGTTGTTCCATCGTCGGCTATTATAGTCTTATCTAGACTATGATGGTATTATTAATGAGTTAAGTTTTTTTGTAAATTGAAGAAAAACATTTTTAATCATCTTAGTCATGAATAATATTATACTTAATATGTTTGAATATTAGAAATAATCGAGCCAACAAAAGGTAAGCCTTTAGCAATGTCCATTACAGACAGTTTGGGTTTTTCTGAATTAAGTGTAAGGGCCGTAATGAGAACCAAAAATTGTGAAATAATAAATAATTCTTCTGATAATTGTATAAGTCTGGCATATTAGTAGTAAGTGAAGTAATTTGTTTGGGGGGGATGGGTTGGTTATTTTTTAATTTACGGGAAAGGGCCCCCCAAAGGTATTTAGCCTTATGGTTCAAAATGCCTAAATCAGGGTCTGCATAGGTTTGTTTATCAAATAGATATTATATAATAACGGAGACAAATTGTATACAAATCGAAAATTATAATTTATTCCATAGACAGATGTGTAGTACTTACTTTCATTCCACTCATGTTTATGAACAGCTGTTAGCAGTTAAAACGGACAAGATAGAAAATCGAATCGTTGAATGCGTCGACTTAGGTTAGTGAAGATCTATATATATAGGTATTAGTGATTGTACCACCGATTATCAAAAAATAATAACAACAATATCAACCTTGGCATTTTTACACACTATAACCACTGAATAAATGAAAAACTTGAGTGTTTTAACCAAAGGCGTGTATTTTGAAACATTAACGACAACATTTTAAAACTAGCTGTTGTGCAAGGAGGAAACATTGTATATGTAGTTCTCGGATGACAAACGTTTGTGAAATAATAAATCGAACAGTTAATTATTTATTGTGTAACACCACGTTTAAATAGACCGCTTTGTTGTTCGTCGATTTGGTTTAGCAGTATTTCTACTATCCAATAGTCTAATGTGATATTTCAAAACCCTATTTTCATGCTCTTTGCTCAAGATAGTCGCCGTTTGAAAATCTATGTAGGTACCGTCCGAGACGTAAATAGTGGACTTTACCGAGCAAGTTCCACAAAAAAAAAAAAGTGTAACTATTATGAATGAATTATGTTGTATAACAGTCTGACCGATTAAAATATATAGTCCCCGATTCAGTGATTCGAGAAACGCGACCGAATTAAATAATACTCTTGGCAATATTTTTAAAAATTGTTTTCATTAAATATTAAGATGACTATTGAATATTTATTAAGTTGCTAGTTATGCACGAATTGCTCACCACGCGTTAACGATGCGGTATAGTACATGGAAGTCGCAATAATTTAAGCATATTAGCTGATGCGATAAGATTTGGTTTTTTATTTTTTGTTCTTTCCCTTTTTATTTTAATTTGATCGTATGATTTATATTGTGTCGAAATCGCGATTCGTCGAAGCTAAATAAATCTGCAATGATTACCTGAGAAAATATAACACAATTTCAAACAAGCACACCGGGATTAGCCTATTGGATGAAACCCAATTATATTTCAATTGGATTAAAAAAACAATACTCTTGTCCGGATCAGAGTTTGCCGCAAACAAATAACAAAACAGATTTACACAGTCCAATGGTATTTTTTTTTTATATTTTATTTATACACAAAACAAACAAATATATATTAATATGTAGTTGTTATTGTAAAATAACATCAATATTTCAGTTCAAACACGCTTATACAGAATGGACATAATATTATTAAACATTAAATGTAACAAATACATCCATGAACGCTTCAATGCATTCGAATCGAACCAGTTTTTATATTGTCATTGATATTATTCTATGGGACAGTGAACAAACCCTAAATAAATAAGATGCATTCTTTGATTTAGGTAGGTATTCTGCTAGTTATTTACAATACTACATTTTTTTTTATGTCAATAATACAAACATTAACATCAACAATGATATTTTGTTTCGGTATTGCAAAAAATATAATATTTTGTCTGCACTAGCACTGGGTTTTGTGTTTCCGGTATGATATTATAAATTTTAATGTTTTCGTTTAAATTAACCACAAAAGAGATAAGGAATTTTTTTTAAAATTATTTTACTGACGTTTTTATATTTAATTATAATATGGGTATCATTTTTGTCTCACTACACGCCTAAGAATTTTTACCTTGACGTACTGGATTAGATTCTGTAGTTCTGCGAACACAAGAAAACAATCGACTAGTAGTTATTCATTTTTAATTATGTCTGTTATAAGATCTGAAAGGTAAATATTTAAAGAAGAAAAAGTAAATATGTGTAATAGAATTATATTATCAAAACCACTATTTACACTGTTTTTTTAACAGTAACACTAAACTTACAACGTTTTCATATTTTTTTCCTTTATCATCGACAAATAAATTAATTGAACAACAACTTTGCAATGGTATTTAGTTACTTGAGGTCTTACTTTTCTACTAATTTAACCGTTGTGCATTTCGGGATGGGAAACCGATAGTACAGGAATATCGAGAAAAAAAACATGCCAAAACCAAATAATAATACCAATAATGTATTCTGTTTTATTAAATGCCATATATTATGATTGTGTAGGGTAAAAAAATGGACAGTACATTATAACGAATAGAGAACAATATGGCGATGAGATAACGGTATTTTGCCATCACATCAACGCCGTTGTTACTTATTGTAATGCATCTGGTCGTAGTGCGAGAACAAACCGCCTTCGTACCCAAACGGGAAAGCCGAGAATTCGGCCATTTTGTGAAGGTTGTATTGGAATTGAGGGAAATCGAATATCGGGTTACCGCTGTAGTAGTAAGCGTAGGGCAGAGGCGCGGTTTTCGCGAGGGTCACATAAGGTTGTGGATCGTTTGCCATCGGTCGGGGTTCGTTCGTCGTCGGTCTAGGTTCGGTCATCGTCGGCCGGGGTTCGGTCATCGTCGGTCGGGGTTCGGTCATCGTCGGCCGGGGTTCGGTCATCGTCGGTCGGGGATCGTTTGCCATCGGTCGATAGACCTCTTCACTGGCCAATTTTGCAACTGTGTCCGATTCATCAGTCGAGGGATGAGCAAAGACGTTGACTAGACAAGCGCCGAATAGCAACAGAGAAGTCTGAAACGAATCAACATAATATCCTCAGTGTTACACTGAAGCCATTGCCGAGGACAAAGCTACCTAATAAATAAATATACTCGTCGGTTACAACAAGTATAACATTCGCTCAAAGGGACCGCTTTAATTATTACTTTTATAACATTTATTTCACTATATAATATGTCTTGTGCTGTTCAACTGGCTCGTACAACTGTAATGTAACTTGGACGTGACATAAGTAAAAAAAAAAAAACTCGAATCGTTCCCGACAATATTAAAGTAATTGACTTCGTTTAATGTTATCAAGAATTATTATTATATAACATTGCCAGAACGGAATGAATCTTACCTTAACGTAACGCATGGTTGACTAACCGATATTTTCTTCTAACGCCGGGTTGTCTGTAGAACGCAAGAACAAACAAGATCTATATTTTTTAATGATTTCCTTAAGTCTTTTTATACGACGTCGGAGCGCGCGTCATTCCACCACTACTATATTTAATTTATTGCAGCACCTTGAGACTTACATGGACGAACTACTGTGGCTAGTGGCCATTAGCTTTTATCAACGTTTACAGGATAATAATGTGGACATTAGAAAAAAAAAAAGAGAAAAAAATGTATTTAACAATAATTATCTGACGCAAACAACAACATATTAAATGGAATATTATGAACATATTATGATGGGTGACAATTTAATCAAGTGAAAATAAAACATAGTTTTATTTATTTCCGTTAGAAAAAAAATGATGTGTCAAGATTTGTCCGATTTTCAATTTTACTGCGTTGATAAATTATGTAAAAACACAATTGAAACGACGTATTATGCGGTTATGTTGAAACTTAATCATATATAGGTACTAAACAATTCAGTAAAAGACATATATTAGTAAACCAAGTTTTGTTACCTTACCAAGGATTAAAATATATTTTAATACCATTAATAGGAATTTTAATACAATATTGCTATGTACCTAATATATATTTTACAAGAATTCTATAATTTCAGGTTTCAATAGTAACAATGTACTATGATTTCTAAATTATACTAGCGATTATGTGAAGCTGAGAAAGTATTGATTTTTCTATGATGTATGATTTTTTTTAACTTTTTATTGATACAATTCATGTACATTTACTCGGGAACTTTAATTTGATTTCCTATTTTGAATTTTGTTCATTTAAAACGTTTTAACTCGATGTAATATTTATGTGAAGACAAAAATATAGTTTCTAAACAAACTTATTTGAATTCTTGGTAAATAGGTAATCGATGCGGTAATTAGTAAGTAATTGAAATGGTTTTGCATGGATATGGAATGGTATAAAATGTAATCTACCTACTTTTATAATTTGAAAAACATACATTGTTTTTAAAACCATTCCGCACGGCGTGATAAACAGGTAAATTAAACCGTGCATGATAAAAAGTCCATTGCACATTAACAGTGTAATATAATATTACAACAAGGAGAATCATTAAAAAAAAAATAAAGTGTAATAATGTTATCGTATCGTTCGATTAAAAAAGTATTTTTTTATTAGTAATTTGATTCATAAACTGTTTTACAAAAATGTATTTACTAAATGAAGATAACTTGGAATGCAGACTGTATTTATTTTTTGTAGTATTGAGGGAAAGGGCCGTATGCGCTTGCCGGTGAGTATACCACGTACGGGGCTGGTGCAGGACTGCAGGCGTACGCGTAAGACGAGGCTGGCGCGATGGCGGCTTTGGCGGCTGGATAGAACTGCGGGTAGCTGTACGGGGCGTACAAGTACGGTGCGGCTTTGGCGACAGGGTAGAACTGCGGGTAGCCACCGTACAAGTACGGCGCGGGTGCAGCGACCGCCGGTGAGTAAGCAGAGTAGACGTACGGTGCGGGTGCAGCTGCTGCAACCGGTGCCGGTGCGTCGTTAGCGGTGACCGGCTCGGCGATCCGTTCGGCGATCGGGTACGCTGGAGCTGGTGCAGCAGCATCTAAGGCGATTGTTGGGATGGGAGCTGGGACTAGGGCTACAGCTGGAGCTGGAGCGTCGTTGACGGGTTCGCGTTTGACGTCGGCGTTGAATCCGGTAAAATCGTCGGCCTTGTAGTTGACCGTCCTCAGCAAACCGTCGGCATCGAGCGTCCTGTAGTAACCGGAAACGGAATCACCAATTCTGGTTTCGGCTTGATCCTTGAAGTCACCGGTAGCTGGAACGTTTACGCCATAGCCGAAGCTCGAAATGGACAGGTCGTCGGCGAGTACAAGGCAAACGCTCGCCGATAGGAGCAAGAACACCTGCGAATCGATTAAAAACAATAACCGCATGGTTTTTAACAGACAATTGGTAATTGGTAATTGGTAATTGGTAATGAAAAGTATAAACTATTTTAACAAGACGGCCATTCGACTGATAAAATACAGTTAGTTAATTTAATGAAAGTTAAATAAATGATCTCTGCTCTTTACTTAAATGTAAGTGTATAGGAACCGAATAGGTTCAAGTTACATTATTTTTCAACCTCGAGTTTACAGACAATTAAATAATATTTGTAAACGAATGTTCGTCATAAAAGTGATTTTGTTTTGTTGTTCCTTTGACAATTTCCAAAGACTTTATTGGACAAACAATTAAATAATTTCACCACAAGAATAATACATTGAAGTATAGTAATATTATTTGAATCTCGTTTCGCAGTGAAATATAAGTAAACACTTGTGTCTGATAAAGAATGTTTAAGGTGGCCAAATATTTGAGATTTCTTTTAGTTATAATAAAATGTTTTCAAAAAATACAATGTACTTACTTTGGTTGACTGCATTGTAGAATTTTGATTTTTCTGAGCTGTAAACCTATACTTCAACTGGAAGGTTGTAGCTGAATGTGTCTACCAAAGCGGACGGTCGTTCTTATATACGGGTTTTTTTTTGTTTAAAATCCACCCTCCTTCGAGGGCCGTACATGGTAAATTTAAGTGAAAATCGTTAACACATTAGGAAATATCCTTCCAAAAAAAAAAAATGTTCACAGCTAAGTACAATAGACTCTAATTACATAACACTTATTTTACTATAGCTCAAGGCGCATACGCATGAGACGTTTAAAAAAAGAACTCGTCCGTATGTAGTAATAACTCTAACAAGCTGGAGGACAACGTTTCTTTGTTTAAGACTCAAAAGTAAGTTTTAAAATTTATATTCAATTAAAATATTCACATATTATTAGCTTGGAAAAATATACACAATTATCTTTATAACAGATGTGTCCTGACAAAGACAATATTATCAATAATAATTAATTGAAGTCCTAAACCAAACTGTTTGTTGTATAAATCATATAAAAACTTCGACCGTGGCTACTCGTTAAGGGACAAAATATAACCAATATTTGAAAAAAAAACCTTACTAAAATTAAGTCAATTTATTGAAATTAGATATTTTAACTAAGTTCAGTATAGTTAAGTTTCAAATTAAATTTCAAACAGCACGTCCTAAGATTGGTTTCCTAAAACATTGTTTGTTGTTTTATTTTCTATTATCACAAATATAAAAAAACCTAACAATAAAAAAAATTGTAATTTGACCGGCGCGGCACTGGTTTAATTATAATACGACTTCATATGTTTACACTTGTTATCTATTAACAATATTAAATTAGATGTATACTGACAGACGTGATTTAAGATTTAAGGGTCTCCATTGGGCCCATGTACACAAATAAGCCAATAAATAAATAATTTGTAAAAGCTTTTTTGAAAAGAACACTGTATAAACTGCGTCTCGACAAAGACATTGTCAATAATTCTATAATTGAAACCAAATAGGATTTTATAAAAAATCATACCCTTTTCTATATTATCATATATTTTGAGTTTTTCTTTCCAACTCAAAATTCTGGGCCGTGGTTATTTATTAATGAGGAATATATAATTAATATTTATCAAAAAAAAAAAAACGTTTTTTTACTATTTTAGTGTTCAGTAATAATTTACAGATTAAAAATACAAAATGAATTTAATTTGAATTAACCTATTCATAACTTATGTAATTATGTTTTTCAATAATTAATGTATAAAATGATTATTAATTTGTAAATGTAGCATTTAAATTTCTACATCAAACGTTATTTGATTTTAAAATGTAAAATACTTAATATTTTGTATATATTTATGATATAAGCATTTTTTTTTTCTAGAAAATTCTAGAAAGTCAATTTATTTGTAACTACACGTGTACAGGTTTTCAGATTTCAACTGCAGTATATAATCACAAGCAAATCTTCAAAAGTTGTACAGACACAGTTTGATAATTGCAACTGGACATTGCAGTTACAATGAAGATGTACAAATAGCATCTAAAATTTGAATCTGCGTTTTGTCATCGCTGTAAGCGGAGTAATGTACACCTGCATTATCTTAAAATATAGAAATATAGCAAGTAAATAACATTTTATTTAATTGTAAAAAAAACGTTTATTGTTCGATTAGAATGACGTGCAATTGTTTTCTTTTAATAACTCAAACATTGGGATTGCTTGGTTTTCATCATTTTCATTTCCAAAACCAACAAGTCTAAATTTGGAATTATCATTTTGCAAAAATCCCACTTTTTTATATTCATAATCGCACAAATTTTCATTTATTTCGCTAATAGTCCTTTATGTTAGAGTTTATAACTTTTAAATCGTTTGTCAATTGTTCCAAAATGTTCGTTAACACTTGTACTTTTTTTTTTTCTATACTTAGACATGTATTCAATTTTATCGAGAATTTCACAGGTTCTGGATTTTGAACGTTTAAATACATAACTTTCATCAAATTCACATGTAACAATCCAGGAAAATTGAAATATTTTAAAATACTTATGGCATTTATAGTCACACACGTTTCTGTATGTGACTTAATAGTTAAGCCTTTCTTGTTGGACTTGCGGATTATTTCTCTGATCAAATAAAGGATTGTCAAAGCTATGCTCTGGAATAGTGTTGTTAGGATATCTTAACGATAATTCTCTGCGCAATGTAAGTAATATCCATTTAGTCCGAAAGTGCCGTGTTGAAATCTCACAACCATGTATCCCAAAATACTGCTATGACATCAAAATGGGATCTCGAAGAATAAGAAAACTACGTATGTCGTTAAAAATAAAAATAGTTTTTTTTTTATACAAGCAGAAATTGTTTACAGTTGTACTACAACAATTTACATAGTATACCACTAGTTGTAATCTTATTAAGTATTATCCATTCAATGTGCAGTTTGGAATCTAAGATTCAATTGTCATACGCAACGTCTATATTCCATTAGGTCGTTTTTTTAATATTTTATTACAGATACCTATAGTAGCAGAATAGGTAGGATAATACTAGCGCCACTATACTACAATACCATTATCAATGCTATAATATATACTTTTTTTATATTTGATTTTTTTAGTTTTTAATTATAATTTGAAATGTTTTAAAAATAAAAATGTATCAACCTAAATGAATATCGAAAGTTCATATCAATAATCTTGGAGGATGTAATAACATAAAATTTAAGATCATTTAATAAAAGAAAGATCCGAAACAAAACCAATCATTACTTAAATTCTATAAGATATTTGCTTTGAAAAAAACACCCTTATTATATACATTTTTAAAAAAATGTCGTCGAACTTATTATTTTTTTTAAGGAAAACCCAAAGAAAAGAATTAAAATACTATAATATTTCTTATCCAATTTAGTATGGTTTGATATTGATATTTACTTATTGTGGTTTTTGTTACTAGTTATTATTTTATTCTTGTAATTAATTTAATGTACAACGACCAATTAAAAAAAAAAAAAAGTTTTTTGTATTTTTATTTATAAAATTTGTTTGATTATTTTTTAAATTCTAAAATGATGATTTAAATATTTTAATCAATCATTCAAAATGTTTAACAGATTTTCACAACTTTAAAATTAATTAATTACATATGTCTACGTGACCACTTCTTTTATAGAGGACAAAAGTAAAATAACAGTAAAATTTTGTATTAAATTATTCATACTTTTTTTTAAATATAATTATTGCCGTTCATAGTTTTGCATTGCAGCGTTTATTCAAAAGTAGTTATTAAATAAAAAATATTTTAAAAAAATTCATAAAGACTTGTAAACCCACCGATCCTATTATACTTTGTTTTCACTGTGTTCCAACTCTGCTGAGCTGACATTTTTTTCACAATTTAATAAAATGTCATTTACTTGCAATATTTTTGTATTGTAAGATAATGCAGGTGTACATTACTCCGCTTACATCGATGACAAAACGCAGATTCGAATTTTACATGCTATTTGCATATCTTCATTGTAACTGCAACGTTTAGTTGCAACTGTCAAACTGTGTCTGTACAACTTCTGAAGGTTTACTTTTGATCATAAAATGCAGTAAAATCTGAACACCTGCACACGTGTGTCTGATTATATCGCTGATGCATACACACATAAATGTTATATTAATAAATAAATATATTATATATTATCGAATTTATTATATTGAATAGTAAGTGAATAATTACAAATATATTGACTTTCTAGAATTTTCTAGAAAAATATAAAAAAACATATGAAAAAATATAAATTAATTTACATTTTTATTTCAAATAGTGTTTGTCGAAAATAATATATAATGATTTTTATACAAATTTATAATTATTTTATACATATAATTACATACATAAATATTAGGTATTATAATTAACTGTATCTAGTGTTTAAAATCTGAAGTTCGTTAAAAAACATTAACATTAAAAAAGAAAATCAACATTCGTACAATTACTAATATTATTTTATTAATTATATGTAGTTTTGATAGAAAGATATTTCTTAGAGTGATCTATTTTAAAAAATTAAGTATATTAGGTACTTCTATTTAATATTTGATTTTTACTTTTTATGAGCAATTTAAACATGGAAGATCTCATCTACAAAAATAACATTGCAACGGATAACAGTTGGGAAGAAATAGGAAGCTAACTAAATACACGAGGTTGTGAAATGCAGTATAATATAATATAAAGTATTTATGTATATGTATATTATTACTTTTTGTAAGGAGTGATTAAATCTGACTTATTTATTATATATATATTACTAAATCATATTATTAATTGTTCGAAATACTTTGTACTTATATTGCTAGGAAGCTGTTTTTCAAACATACAAATAACTTATTTTAGCTAGGAGGGTAGTGATTGTACAAATATGAGTTTTATTTGTTTCGTTTTTGTATGTCTTCACCCTCATAGATAAAGAAATAATTCTTTAAACAAATATTATATAAAACATAAGTAATAGGACAGTAGTAATATTAAGGAGAAATAATTATAAAATATTCGGCATATTTTAAATCACTATAAAGAAATGTATGTTTCTGTTAATTGTACATTTAATTATTAAATCAATATTAGCAATAGTATGATATTCAATTTTATAATTTAGTGTTCAGTAATATTTTGATAAAATATTTTTTTTAACCATACCCACTACTCCAGGATGGCAACTCTTGTCTCTTGTAGAGCAAGAGTTGTCCAAACTAAACTACACAGATCGTATACTAAAAATAGGACTAAGGATAAATAGAAGTATGACAGAATATAAAGATTATTTACGTAGTAGGCAAGGTTGAGAGTTTTAGGTGTTAAGGATATTTTGTATAAAATTGTATGTTGTACATACATAAAAACAATACCAAAACTATATAATTGGCAAACATTATGCACCATGGTAACTAACTATGTATTTCTTTCATAACTTAATAAGGGTTCAAAGCATAACCCTTGTTCGCATCTACTCTATTCCTAACATCTTCTGTTACTCCACAAACACTTGTTATTGAGTTCCAAGTAATATTTATATAGACCAAAACAATTTTAAAACCAACTCATTTGAGGTCTTGACAAATAGGTAATTGATACGGTTATTGGAACGCAATTAAAATGGTTTTGCCTTGTTTGGGAAAGCATACTATGCGAAAAGAGGATAATTGTTCTCTTGTATTTTTTTTTTTAAATAAATTGTTTCTAGGCCATTTCCGATGGCGTCTATCGGCTAAATCCAACGGTTGTAAAAATATTTTTCATAACACGGTACACGGGTTAGGTAAAGTTTTAATACGTGTATAATATAATAATATGATATGACAGGAGAATCAGTTTATAAAAATATATACATATATAATAATCGTATCATACGACCAAAAACGTAATATTTTATTGAGCAATTTAGTTTACAAAACATTTTACAAAATCATATTTAATAATTTAATACAATTTGAAAAACACACATTGATTACCAAACTGTGTTTATTTTTTGTAGTATTGGAAGAAAGGGCCGTATGCGCTTGACGGAGAGTATACCGCGTTTGGGACTTGTGCAGCTGAGCCTGAGGCATACGAGTAAGATGATGATGGTGCGATGGCGGCTTTAAAGGCTGGGACATACGGAGCAGGAGCGGCTAAGACGTACGGAGCTGGTGCAGCTGACCCTGAGGCGTACGAGTAAGACGTGGCTGGTGCGATGGCCGCTTTGAAGGCTGGGACATACGATACTGGTGCGACTTGGACGTATGGAGCTGGTGCAGCTGAAGCGTACGAGTAAGATGAGGCTGGTGCGGCTGGTGGTGCTGGGACGTACGGAGCTGGTGCAGCTGAGGCGTATGAGTAAGACATGGCAGCTTTGACGGCAGGGACATATGGGGCTGGTGCAGCTGAAGCGTACGAGTAAGATGAGGCTGGTGCGGCTGGGACGTACGGAGCTGGTGCAGATGAGGCGTACGAGTAAGACGAAGCTGGCGCGATGGCGGCTTTGGTGGCTGGGTAGAATTGTCCGTAATCGTAGGCGGCGTAATTGTACGGTGCAGCGGCAGTTGGGTATAACTGCGGGGAGCTGTATGCTCCGTACGAGTACAGCGCGGCTCTAGGGTAGTTCTGCGGGTAACGGGAGCTGTATGCTCCGTAAGAGTACAGCGCGGCCCTAGGGTAGTTCTGCGGGTAACTGGAGCTGTATGGGGCAAAAGAGTAAGGTGCGGGTGAAGCGAATTCCGGGGAGTAAGGGTAGAATGGTGTGGGTGCAGCTGCAACTGGCAACGGTGCGTCGTTAGCAAACTGCTCGGCGATCGGGTATGCTGGCGCGGGTGCAGCTACTGCAACCGGTGCCGGTGCGTCGTTAGCGACCGGCTCGGTGATCCGTTCGGCGATCGGGAATGCTGGAGCTGGTGCAGCAGCTTCTAAGGCGATTGTTGGGATGGTAGCTGGTTCTGGAGCTGGGGCTAGGGCTACAGCTGGAGCTGGAGCGTCGTTTACGGGTTCGCGTTTGACGTCGGCGTTGAATCCGGTAAAATCGTCGGCCTTGTAGTTGACCGTCCTCAGCAAACCGTCGGCATCGAGCGTCCGGTAGTAACCGGAAACGGAATCACCAATTCTGGTTTCGGCTTGATCCTTGACGTCGCCGGTAGCTGGATCGTTTACGCCATAGCCGAAGCTCGAACTGGACAGATCGTCGGCAAGTACAAGACAAATGCTTGCCGATAGAAGCAAGAAAACCTGCGAATCGATTGAAACAATAACTGCATGTTTTTTTTACAGAAAATCGTTAATTGGCAATAAATAGTATAAAATATTTGAACAAAATGGCCATTTGACTGAGAAAATACAACAATTAAGTTAATGATAGTTAATTAAATGGTCGCTCTTTATTTTGTTCCTTTGACAATGCTCAAACACTTTATTGGACAAACAATTAAATCATTTGGCTACAAGAATAATACATAATTGTAGTATCATATATGAATTTCGTTCCTCAATAAAAAGTATAAAACACTTATGTACTCTTGTGTATTATAAAGAACGTTTAAGGTGGCCAAATGTTTGAGTTTTTCGTTAAGTTATAATAAAAAATAAAATACAATGTGCTTACTTTGGTTGACTGCATTGTAGAATTTTGATTTTTCTGAGCTGTAAACCTATACTTCAACTGAAAGGTTGTAGCTGAATGTGCCTACCAAAGTCGACGGCTGTTCTTATATACGTTTTTAAAAAATCCACCCACCGTTAAGGTCCCTGTGTGTTAAATTTAAGTGGAAATTGTTAAAACATTAGGAAATATCCTCAAAAAATGTCGATCGAGACATATTAGATACAAATTACACAACATTTGGCTTACAGTAGCTCAAGGCGCATACCTCGCCCGTGTGTAGTAATAACCCTAATAACCTAATGGACAACATCGTATTATGTAAGACTCAAAAAATAGTTTAAAATTTTATACTTAATTAAGACTTTTTACACACATACTTAGAAAATATACAATTCAATGTTGTATTTTACATCGTGTTAACTAAAAAAAGTATAGCTGTTTTTGCAATAAAGTTGACAATGATATTGTTAATAATTTATAAATTGAAACCAAAAGGTATGTTTATTTTTTTTTTTTTTTAACTTAAAAGCCTCGGTCTTGTTTATTTATTAAGGGAAAAATAAATTCAACTTTGGACAAAAAACTTGTTTTACTTAATTTTGATCATGTCAAAAATTGTTGTTTGATCATGTCACTAAATTTAGGATTAATTTATATTAGCTCTAACGTTTTGCGATGAAAAATCACAAACCTCAATGTGTAATCTGATTTAAATATATTTTTTTTGTTTGATGAAGAATCTCTTTGGGAAGGATAATACATTAATTCATATTTAATCTATCAGAATCAGAATCATAATAAATGTAGCAGTATATAATATATAATGCTAGCTTTTGTATTTACCCGAACAAGCTTTAATTACCAAATATGTATATTTTTATGAATTGTATACAATATTTTTAAATTAACCTGTATTATTAATCTCTTGGATTTTGTCTGCATAAATAGGAATCAATATCTGACCGTTATATATAATACATAATACTTTTGTACATAATACTTTAAACATTTGAATAATTAAAACCATGGGTCCGGATAAAATTCTAGGCATACATAATAATTTACATTGTACATTTTCAAAAATATGCTTTTACTCTTAGTAAAAGTTTTGTGATATAAACTAATATTTACGCCGAGAGTTAAATGGTAACACCAGTCCATATTTCAAGTTGAAGCTTCTTGAACTTAAAGCTGCGCTAATCTTACTCAAATAAAATAGACAAAAGTTTCTAGATAACTAATTGCGTATTATCAATTGTTATTACACATGTCATGTTGAGACTAAAAAATAAAAATAAATAATCAATATACATATAGTATACACTATGTAGAGCAGTCTCCCAATGCAGAAGGCAATGTATTAATCTATTTTTGTCCCACGCCCAATTTTCAAAACCAAGTACAACTGATAGTTTTCATTGTATCGGTGTTTGTTTTCTTTTTAAACATTTAACTTTTTCAGCTTTATGATTCAACAACTTCAAAACAATTAGTCGATTGTTAAAAGTTAAAATTTGATCACCTGGTTAAAGAACTGAGTACTAACACAATGACTTTACAAAAAAAAAATTACGATGTACCTAAGTGGATAAAAATTCACTCGACACTTTGATTGATCGATAAGGAAATTCATAACGTTGTACAAAAAATTAACAAATATATGAATGAAAAAAGAAAGTGGAAGCTACCCTGTAAAATTACTATTGTTTTGAAAGCGCGTTTTCAGTTAATATTATACACCATGTTTAATAAATAAAATATTAAAAATCTCATTATGTTGAACATACTAACAGTTAAAATATTTTATTTATAAGAGTTATTTTTGTTCTTAATCATATGTTTTAAATTTTATTTTTCGATTTTTCTTATTACAAATAAATTGTACGAAATTGTATTATTATAGAATCAGCCTAGATCAAACTACCATCTATATAAAAAAATATTTTGACTTTTCAGGGGGAAATGGTTTTGTATTTACAAGATATCTCACACCAGTTTGGAAGTAATAATTCTGTGATAATGACTAATTTCCAAACATTTATAACGTCTGATAATTTTAAGTTAAAAAGTTTGTAAATTTCTATGGTGTTTTACTTGATTTTTCAAGTACAATTTCAGATCTGTAGACTTGCTATACCAGGATCAATGTTAATCAGGATGTTCACTGATACAATATTCGATTCATGGATAATTGAAAACTATGTATATACTTATACTTAAGATTTTTCAATTAGTATTATAGTCATCGACCAAGAAAACACAAAAATAATTCAAAACATTGAGAAACCTAATAAAGTTACACATTCGGATTGCAACAAACTAAATGCTTTCAGTGGTTGAAAACATATTAAATGTATTTTGTAAATGGTCACACATTATCAAATTAATAATTAGCGAAACCATTCAAGGTATTATTATTGTTAGTTAAGTATGAAGTGTATAGAGAGTACCCTGATGTTCAGGGAAAAGGCAAAAAACTCAAAGTTAACATTACTTATCAAACCACCGAAAATATAATAACTCGCTTGAAATAAAAGCAGCAAAATCTGTATTTTTTGAACGGCCAAATAAAATTGCCTTAATGCCGTCTAAAAGAGAACCCAATCAATACTCTTACAACAAAGGGCGCGTCACATACATCTACAAATTATTTGCATCGATCAAGAACAAATTACCTAACCATGTCAAATAAACCATATCTTATTGTCAACGAAAAATAGTTTGGGAGACCATTGATGATTTTTTTTTTAATAACACAACTTTGAGTTGTATAATTTGAGCACAAAAATACTTGACTTATTTACATATTACATAATATATTTTATTAATCAACAATGCAGTAGTATTTTCAGAGAAATTAGGATAACATCACAAATGTTTACAACGGTATACTATAACAATTTTTAAACGGTCTTAATGTTTTTTAGTCAAATACGAGCCGACTTTCTTTAACGCCGACACGATCGGATGTTTGTGGAATTTGCTCTTTATCAAAGCAGATATGGACGGACGAGTGTACGTGGCGTACACGGCTGGTGCAGCTGGTACGATCGGTGTTGGCTCCACTACAGTGGTTTTGACAAAAGTCGGCGGCGCAAACTGTTGGAAAATGGCTGGTTCGGGCGACTTGTAGACCAATGGCGAATATGACCGGTACACGATAGGTTCTTGGGGTTGGTAGGCGGCAAAGGGCTGGGTAGAATGGTAAACAGGGGCGGGAGCAGCGGGCTGATAGGCGGCAATGGGCTCGGCAGAGTGGTAAACAGCAGCCGGTTCGTAGTAGACAGACTCGGGAGATTCGAAGACCGGGCCTGGTGCAACAGCCGGTTCGTAGTAGACAGACTCGGGAGATTCGAAGACCGGGCCTGGTGCAACAGCCGGATCCAAGGCGACGGGCGGCACGACTATTGGTTGGCGTAAGACGTCGGCGGTGAATCCGTTCAAATCGTCAGCCTTGTAGTTGACCGTTCTCAGAAAATTGTCGGCGTCGAGTGTCCGGTAACGACCGGAAACGGAATCGCCAACGCGGACTTCCTGTTGGTCCTTAAGGTCGCCGGTCGCCGGGTCGTTTACTCCGTAGGCGAAGCTCGAGCTAGGCAAGTCTTCGGCGAGCGCTAGGCAAACGCCGACAGAGAGGAACGACAAGACCTGAGAGTCAAAAACGATAAGATTTAAAACACAAGTATATCAATTTGAGCGATCCAAGTAAATATGTATTAAGAAATCCGGTAAATAAACTGGGTAAACGAGTAAATAAATCGAGGTTATCGTATGGTTTATTGGTTATTTTACCTAAAAACATTATCATGTTAAAACGGTCTTACCCGACGGGTAGAACAGAAAAGCATACAGAGAATACTAGCCAAGGAACTAGTAAAAAAATAAAAATAAAAAATCTATTAGCCTATCAATCAACGAGGACAACACTATAAATTTTGATTTATGGCAACGACAACATTAGTAAAAATTCCATAATTGTAATGAGAGATGTGACATAGTCTGAGAATGTATCAAAGTTAAAATCAATAGAAGAATAACATCTGCAGGTTAGCAAGTGTTAGCTGTTCTTGTTAGTGTCCTTGTTATAATATTGAGATATGCGTGGGGGATTAGATGATACGGACAGCGGAGATGCTTGGCGGAGTGTAGTGTGACGGGCCTGCGAGGCTTGGAACAAACCAGAGGGAAATATATAATGATAGTATAATATAAAAATGGTAAGTACACAAAACATAAAAGTGAAATACTTGGCTCGGAAAACAATAATACTCACTGTGAAGGCTCGCATGGTGTGTTTCGTTTACTTATTGTATTATAGGAACTGTGTAAGCAGCCGGGAACGCTGTGCACGTGTGTGTGTACTGTGTATGTAACTGTAAACGGTTCACAATGTGCCGTTCAAAGCGGTCAGGAAACCTTTATATAGGTAATCGATTTTACTCCCGTTAAAAGGTCCCAGACACACGGTGTTTCGACATTCACGAAAAATATCCAGTGTAGTGCAAAGGTACGCATAAAACATGTTTACTTTCATTACAAACGCCTCCGGCCGAGGATTTCATGGTACCTGACAGTACAAATTGGATATAACGTGCCTTTCGTTGCAAAACAGCCAAACAAGACCTCCGGGTTGTCGCATTATATTATTAAATACTCGATATCTGAAAATATTTTACAAATTACACAAACAACGAAAGGGACATTAGAGGCATAAAAACCGTCAAGAGACATGGTCCAATTTAATTTGCGATGGGAAGTAAAACGTTTAGTTTTCAAAATGATTCCGAGTTAATAGGACGTCACACACGCGTTATTTTCTTTAAAAAAACCCGCCTTGCGCGGGTTAATTTTACAAAGGCATTTATAATCAAAACTAAGAAACCAAATTTTTACATAATATAGACAACAACATTGTCTGTGTTCTACCATCGCTCTTTTTTTAATATTTAATTAATTAATTAAGAAAGGACTTTTTTTACTTTTTTAAAAATGATATAGCGTTGGTTGTATTAGGTATATCGAAAAAATACCGATGATGGAACACAGATAATTTTATCATAAATAATATGTATGAATTTCTTTCCTTAACTATATATGAAGCCTGAGAAAAATCAATCCACGCAAAGAGAGTTTTGATGGTAAAAAAATTGTATTTTATCCTATAGAAATGACTGTGATAGTCTGACAAAAAAAATGGCATCAACAAAGTATCAAAAAATTGCCTATACTTTACTCCTTAGAAATGGCCGGTGTGGCGTGCTCTTAAGTACAAAGTGCTATAGCGCGTTTCATTGTAGATACATTTACATAATATTATAATACTTTAAAATCCAAGTAGGTACTATAGAATTTTGAAAAAAAATAATAATATTAGGAATCAATAACGATCAATGACTGTTGGGAATTATAATATTTATGATAATATAATGTAATATAAACAACGCAAAATAATTGTATTTTTGTAATGCTATTTATTTATTTAGGTCTTTTATGTTGTTTACTGTATTTATAATTCTTCAGTATATTGTATTTATTGATAATATATTTAGTATTGTCGTTACAAATATATTTGGATAACGTTTATTTGATCCACTATATTTGTTTATTGGATTGCATATAGTACATAACACTCTAAGGCTTTATCGTTTTAAAACAAGTGTATTTTCCATTTATGTAACAATGAAATATACATAACCGTTACAAATGCAAGTCTTCGACACAATTTTATCAACACAAATAAGATGAAAATACATGCTTAGGCAATATAGTAGAGTTCTAAATTGTATTTTTAAAACCACAGAGTTGATGAAAAAAAAATTGTAATACTTAACAAATATATAATACACTAATCCGGTTTCACTACCACATAAAATATTATCATTTAATCTAAATTGTATCCATTACACATCCCTATTTAGTGCAACTCTCAATGAGAAAAGGTCGGACAAGGGTTTAATTTTGGCGGTTTGGGATTATACAGCTGTTCGCTAACCCTTAATACTGACCGAATTAATTGGAAAATTGTTGTGGTAAGCGTTGGGGTTTTTCCGTACTATACGGACAACGTACATTTTTGTCGAGCAATAGAACATATTCAATTTTAACAAGCCAGTGCAGTGGGGTGAAGGCATAGTGGAGAAGGGGAGCTCAAAGGTCTACAGATTTTATTATATCTGAAAGCGATAAAATAACTTTCAAATAAACGCTTCGGACCTATAGATAGCTGGTGAACAATCATTGTCAATAATGTCAGCAATGTTTAAATTGTATTTTTAGTGTTAGTTTGGATACGATAAGAGTTGGTCAATGGTCACCTGTCTTAAGTATAATTTGTTGCCATCGTTAACCATACATAGTATTTAAAAGTACATTGAAAACATTTTTCAGAAACCTCATTTAATTCAACCTTAACAATCTAGAAATTAACCACGGCCAAAGTGTATTTTTTCTATTTTTTTTTTTAAGGAGTGTAATTCTGTAATAAAATTTGACTGCGCTTTTTTCTAGCTAGTAAGGATCTCAATACGTTAAGAGTCAAAGAAGTTATTCAGTGCAAAATAGTTTTATATAACTTCAATGTAACATTATCGCAAACCTACTATTTATTAATACTCACAAACTTTTACAACATAAGGTTCTCACAAAGTCAAAAAATATTTTATTAAGAACAAAAAGTTCTAAGTGTATTAAAAAAAAATGTAAATAGGTGGTGTTATTAAATAAAATGATTTTAATGTTTTTACGGGGTCAATATACATTATTTTGTATGTTAGGTTGGTATTACTACTGTAGAAATAGTTCTTTGTGGTATTATATACTTTTTATAACGCAAAAACGTTTTATCTCATATTTGATTTTGTGCAAAAATGTTCTATCTCTAGAACTATTTGATTCCAAGTTTAGTTTTATCAATAATATTTATTTACCAAGTTATTAACTGTTGATATACTTTTTAATTTGTGGATATTTTTTTAATTCCATTATAAGCTGGAAAATATGTTTAATAAGGGGTAGGAGTGAATTTTTCAAATGTTTCAACACAATTAAGTATCTTTCAGATACAATTTCTTATCTGTAGAGTTGCTACAAAAAGAATCGGCTCAGGGGCTTAAGATATCGTGGACTAGACACAAAAAAACACAAATTTATGATAAGACAATACCTTTTCAGCTACGCAATAAAGCAAAACAACAATTTTGAGTTATTAATAAGTAATAGTGGATAATTAATAGCAAGGATAAGATAAAATCAGATGGTACATTCCCTTTTAAAGAATGTAATTTCTGAAAATGTAAACAAACCAAAACCGTCCTCAACTCAGATTAATCAATAGTAGGAAAAAAATTGTATTATAAATTTATCGTTGATTTTATTAATTGTTATTACCGATTTGTATATAATAATTATTTGATAACATATTATATGGTGAAATTTGTTTAACGATAATTTCATTTCTATAATGTGATCACACTAAGTTGAGGAGGGTTTCGGTCTGTCAGTAAAATATGACGAAGTGCTCCATCCGGTTTTACCTAGTCTACTGTGACGATAGTGAGATAATGTTATATGAGAAAACAAATGGTATATTTGTATCAAACGTTTTATTATAAACTATTTTCGATGTACACAAAATCTTAAGTGCAAAATAATCACAATTTCAACTAAGTGTTGTTGACAAAGCGTTACGGTTATTTTTTTAGGTATTCTAAGGGTTGGGGGTAAGCACCCGACGGGTACCAAGACCCATAACCGAGCCGGGTCAAATACTCTGCGGGGTTCGGGATGGAAGCTGCCTTGAGTGCCGGCAGGTAAGAAGGAGGAGCGGCTATTTCCGAAGCATAAGCCGGAATGGCGGATTTAAGCGACGTGAGGAACGGGATGGAGGCGGGAGATGGGGCTGAGGCGATGGGCGCGTAGGGCGTGTAAGCAGACCTGATCAAGGCCGGTGCGATGTTTTGGATATAACTCGCCGGCGTTGCGTATTTGTAGGCGTTCGAAGCGTAGGCCAGCGGATCCCAGGACTTGTAGGCCAGCGGATCCATAGGCTTGTAGGCCGTCGGCGCTAGATCGATGGTCGGGGCAGGCGGGGCAATCGGAGCTGCAGTTGGAGCCAGGGCGCCGCCGTTCAGGGGCTCGCGTTTCACGTCGGCGACGAACCCGCTCAGGGCGTCGGCCTTGTAGTTGACCGTCCTGAGCAAGCCGTCGGCGTCGAGCGTCCGGTAGTAACCGGCGACGGCGTCGCCAATTCTGGTTTCGGCTTGATCCTTGAGGTCGCCGGTCATCGGGTCGCTTACGCCGTAACCGAAGCTCGAGCTGGGCAGGTCGTCGGCGAGTGCAAGGCAAACGCTCGCCGATAGGATCGAGAACACCTGCGTGTCGATCAAAACAAAAAATTAACAATATCAAAGATTTTAAACACTTTGTTTAGGGGTGTGTGAATAATGGTGAATAAAGTGGCAGAAATTCTTGGCAAAATCGTGAAATACCTGATTTAAGTCTTAAGTTAATAATTAAAACATATTAATTTTACCCTCAATAAGGCAGCGAATATTTGTAGAACCTCTTAGAGGTTTTGATCTATGTTTTAAAAGCTCAAACAAATTATGTACTTCATTATGAGAAAATAATTATTCCAAATAGAATCAGAATTTAGAAAATGCAGGGTGGAAAAAAGCGGCACATTCAAAGTCTAAATATTAGGCCTACGCCTAGGTATGTCCTTTCCCCAAGAATTATCCACAGAATATGTCGTACTTACAGTTATGGCCTGCATGGTTGCTGTTGTTCGGAGTTGGTCAAACAAATGATGAATGTAGTTTATGGAGTGTTCGAAGTGATCTTTATATGCCCAATATAAGAGTTCCCCCGGATGCGGTCTTGTGATTTGGACAGACCGTATCGCGTTAATTTCAAAATAATAACAACAAATAGTAAATTATTTTGTTTTTCGAATACAAATACTTGGCTATAATCGATTCTCATGTGGTCAGAGCTGTTAAGGTGCGTACTAAGGTCGTACACCATGTGTAAAAACATAAATAAACAATCAAAAATGGTGTTAGATAATATTATGCTTGACCGTATTACACCTTTGGCGTGATATCACTCAGCGTTTATGTGTTATCATTATTATTGTTGTTGTTGTCCCAGCTCATTTATGTAATAGGACATTAAATAAAATATGATTAAGTTTTCACTAGAAATAAAAATACAAATGTCAACAACGTGCAAACGATAACGGTTGTAATTTCTACCGAGGAAAAAAAATATATAAATTATATATCAGAA